GTACCCGGTGCTGCCGCAGGTGATGCGTCTGCAGCGCGGGGGCGAGACGCCGCCGCTGTTTTGAGGGAGGAGGGGGGAAAATTCAACAGTATTCGTGCCGCTGTGGGGCAAGGTTTATATCGAGTAAATAAACGCTGCCTCTGCAGTCTTTGCTTGGAATGCGGTTTAAAGTATCGTGTTCCTCTTGCAGGGTCGTGTGAGACTGATATTATGCTGCGGGATTTTTGTGCGACGTACAAAATATTTTTAAGTGCTAGTATTGTTTAGTTACTACCTAATTTATTAAAAATTCCATGAACTTAGTAATTTATACAATGCAGTTTGCCCTTTGGATGACTAATGTGCCTAAGGCTGGTTGGGAGAGTGTTCGGTTGTGTTGTTTTGTCATGGAGTAGTTCAGAACCGGCGAAATTGAGACCTTCGCTGCAGTTTCTGTCACGTCGTCCAAATGTCTGTGTGAACTGTTGTTTATGTCTCAATGTGGTTTTGTTACGTGTACAAAATGGAGTTACTTACACTTGAACGCTAACGGCAGCTGATTTCACTGTTACTGTATCATGAGCTTGTCTTCATTTACGTTTTTTTACTGGTAATGATGCTGCGATTAAAAATAGGCCAGTTTGTTCCAGCAGTGCTCCTCTGCTGGAACAATAGCACAGCACTGCAGAAGGCTGCTGTGGGGCTCAGGGCAGGGGGAGAGGCTTTCACTCCTAAGTATGGGAAATACTTTTCTGTTATTTGATCCGGAAACTTGACTGGTATATGCTATTTTAGCTGTACGTCAAGAAATTACCTTATGCCATTTTTAAAGATTAAAAAAACCTACATTATTCTGACTTGCATAGTTTTTACAGTGTTTCTACTCACCCTGGAGTAGTTTGGAACGTTAAGTTGTGTGGGGGCATCCTTTCATGTTTTAAGCAATAGATGAACTGCTGCAAATGTTCACGTGTTAAGCAAGCCACTGAAGTACTATTTCAGAGAAAAAAATTGTGTGCCAAGTATTCAGTTGATGAAAGAAGAAATGAAAATTAGTGAGAAGTTGAATATGACTGGTGGTGTGTTTTTTGGTGGGATTTGGTTGTAATTTTTTTTTTTTAAATAAATACAGTGAATGTTCAAACCAGCATCAACAGGAAGAGCAATTAAGGAAACATTATATGCTTTTTAAGCTGATGCTGAAACTTTCACTTTGTTCTGCACTTCAGCACTAGAACACGTGATATGCACATGTCAATGTAGAATTTCTGTTGGTAACTTTTTTGTGGCTAACATGGAATTAATGTGCATGTATGTCCTGCCCTGGCACAAGCATTGCTCGTAAGATGTTGTTTTCCAGTTTGAAGTGTTTGAGAGAGAACAAGGAACTAAAACATACAGTACAAGTCAGCCCTTTGCAGAGTACGAGGAAGCTCTTGTGGGACTCTGAAGTGGTTGTGTCCTGCATTTCTTGAATTCTTCCATAAACAAGAGCTTTGCATTTGTTTCTGATTTCTTCACTAGAAGTAGCATGCATGGAAATACTTAGACAGCCACAAGTACTGGAGTGTCATGTTGAGTAATGCTTTTTGTTGTTGTAATTTAGATGATCTGTAATTACAATTTAGACTCTTTATAAACAATAACAAAAAAAGGATTTTCAATGATAGTTAAGCAACCAAAGCACAGCCTCATTAAACTAGGGAGCCTGAAGTAATTGTAGTCAGTCAGAAGAAATAGTTATCACTTCTTAGTTTATCTTCAGGTAGACTTTCTTGTGTGAGAAACTGAAGTTCTTTTTGGTTAGGAAAATATGAAATAAGGCAACATAGTCCTACAAACACTATTTTACTGTAATTATGTTACAGAATGCTATCATTGTAGGTCTTCAAAGGGTAACTGGTACGTTTCAGTTGATAAGTCACTTCCCACTTAATCTGTCCACCCTTCCAAATGATGCACACACCTATGCGCCAAAACTGTTAACAGAAGAATGGTATTGTTCTGTTAAACACATTTAAATTCATTGAAAAGTACTGGGTCTACTTCAATCCCATTGGGAGGTGTTCTCAAAGTTTTTTTTCAGGCTCAGACTGAAAGCAATTATTGGAGACACCCAGGTATTCAAAAATGGGTTTACCATCTTCACAATACAGGCAAGCTACCTACAAGATAGTGTTTTTTACTAATCTGATACTGACATCTGAACAAGGAGATAAGTGTGCATATAAGTCTGCTATATTCTGAGCTTTAAGGTTCAATAAACCTGATTAGAATTATTATTTGTTAATGATTATGTCAGTGTTATTTGTTACTAATTATGTAATTATATTATGTCAGTGTCTCCATAAAGGGAATTAAAAATTCTCTAGTTATATAAAACTTCTAAAATCTCTATCAAAAGCCTATCTGTAAGCTGTTCATATGGTGAAACATAAGAGTTAAGATGTGCTACAAAAAGCAAAATAATTTGTTCATTCTGTGTAGCAGTTAAGTTCTCCTTTAAAAATTCATGTACGAATTTGACAGTTTTTTTCATAGAAAGTTGGAACCTAGTTCTGCATGTCCAGCAAAATTGAGCAGGTATTCATGGTTCTGTATTCCTGTTTGTTTCAGTGGACACTTGTAGAGACGTGTCTTTAAGAGTTACATTTGAGAAATTGCCTGCTGCTTTTTTCCCCATGTCGTGCTTCAACATGAGTTGATTTTAATGTGTGTTGTGTTAATCTCTTCAAGATCTCTGTTTAAACTTGCTTTGATTTGTGTTTTCAGTCTTAAAACTAACCAAAGCAATACAGTGTATTCCTTGCTACTTTAAATTCTCAAAAGGCATTGGCTTTAGGTGAAAGTAACCAGGTTTGTTATTTACCAGCATCACATTTTAATTACTCAGAGTAAAGTTTTGTCACTTTCCATGTAAATGTGGAATTTCCAAGTTTTCTTATATTGTTTTAGATGGTCTTATGCTGGGGAAATGTACTGCTCCTGACTGCCTGGCTGATCAGGAGGAGCTGTGGTAGGTTATCTGCATATTGAATTAGTTAGGTCCTTCTGTAACTAGCCCACCTTGTTTACAACGCTGTTGTAGTGTGGTACATATGCATATTTTTTACTTCAGGCTCTTTTTTGCCTTCTGTTTAAAGCTGCCCCTGATGTCCAAAGGAGTTGCTTTCAAATGCTTCTGAAAGTGTATGTATTCAGAATGTACTGACAGTGCTTGCTTTTTTTTTTCCTTTTTTTTTTTTTTCCCCAAAACAAAAGTAAAACAAAGTACAGTTTTTTGTTTTTTTTTTTTTTTTTTTACAAACGTTACAGTAAATGAAGGAAGCAAAAGCACAAATGTCTGATTTGACTGGGGATATTTGAGAGCTCTGAAGAGAAATTATATTTCTGTTCCAATTCACCCTTGTTTTACTGCTCTACACTTCCCCCACTTCCTTCCTGACAGGGTGAGGAAAAGGATTTACAGTACAACACGGTCGCAACAGCTCTATGTTTCAAACTTTATTTCTGACAACCGGATTAAAAAGGTTTGATGGGTGATTCACAGTAGAACCTGGTTTTACTACATTTAAATACAATTGTACAGGCCAGAGTTTGCAGTGCAGACTCAATTTGAAGAGGTGTCTCTGAGAACAAAAAGCAAGTTACTAGGGTTTTTTCCTTCCTTAGACACAAATTTTGTCATAATTTGAAATAATCTGAAATATTTGTCTTTTGTTTTCCCAGGTTCCTGTCGCATGTAAATCATGTCCTTGTGGCTACATATTTATTAGTCGAAAACTCTTGCATGCTAAACGTGCTGAGAGGTCACCACCCATCACAGGTAATACTAACAGAGATGGGAAGAAGGGGACTACAGTTCTTTCCCCTTAAGCTGATGTTTCCTGCTTTACTTCCTTTGTATTTGTGACATTGGCATTTATTCTGTGTATATTGTAGCTGTGCATATTGGCCATTGTGCAACAAAATTCCTTACAGAAAGCTTTATGTTAAACTTACTTTGAAGCTAAATGTCTGGAGGTGCCAAGGGGATCATATTTCAGAGTTCATGCTCATTTGAAGCTGGGTTTTATGAAAGTTAAAATTAGTCATGTGTTTAGTCTAAAGCCAGGTGAGTCTTGCTTCTCTCTGCATAGGTTAAATGAAAAAAAAGTGTGGTTTTTGTCAATTTGTATGTGTTCTGTTGTTGATGAGCACAGTAAGAAGTCAGTTGAATGGGCATTCTAGCATGATTAACATTTTTCTCCATTCCTATTAGGAATTAGTCAGGACAAGCACTTGTCAGAAAAATGTGGTTTTTTTTAAAAACAATCTTATCTATAATGTCTAATTCTTAGCATTATCTGCAAGGCCTGTGAAATGCAAGCTAAGTATTTGATATTTTGCATCACTATTTTGAAGGATACTTCTCGTTTACCAGCTTGTAGGAATTCCAAGATTTTACACTAGATAACTGAACTTTCAAGGTAGAGGAGCCTAAGCAGTATCTATGGTAGTTTGGATTTGTTGGTCAGTTTTCTTTCCCCATCTCTCACTGTTGATAAGGTAGTAAGCAAATTATCCAGCTTTTTATGTGAGAAATGCATCAGGGGAAGAAGAACCCCATGCACAAATATATGCTGGAGCCCAGCTTGCTGGAAAGCAGCTTTGCAGGAGAGGCCCCTGGGTCCTGGTGAAGAGCAGGTTGAAGATAAGCCGGTGATGCGCCCTTGCGGCAAAGGCGGCTAACGGTGTTCGGGGCTGTGCTAGGCAAAGTACTGCCAGCAGGCAAGGAAAGGGATCCTTCCTTTCTACTCACTGCTGGTGAGGCCACACCTGGAGTATTGTGTCTAGTTCTGGGCTGCCCACTACAAGAGAGGTAGGGGTGTACTGGGAAAAGTCCAATGAAGGGCCATGAAGATGATCCAGGCACTAGAGCATCTTTCCTCTGAGCACAGTCTGAGACAGCTGGGACTGATGAGCGTGGAGAAGGCTCAGGGGAATCTTATCAATGTATAGAAATACCTGCAGGAAGGGTATAAAGAAGGTGGAACAGGGGTCTTTTCAGTGGTGCCCAGTAACAGGACAAGAGGTAGTAGGTGCAAAACAAAACATGGGCTGTTCCTTCTGAACATCAGGAAATGCTTTTTTACTGTGAGGATGACTAAACACTAGCAGAAGTTGCCCAGAGGGGTTGTGAAGTCTCCATCCTTGGAGATGTTCAGGAGCCAGCTGGATGTGGTCTTGGGCAACTGGCTCTTGGTGGTCCTGCTTGAGCGGGAGGGTTGGACAGGTTGGTCTCCAGAGTTCTCATGTTATAAATTGCATTGGCAGGAATTAAAGGCTTGATCCTTGTGATCAAGAAGTGCAGTGTCATTCTGCATCTAACACCTTAATTTCTCCATGGATTTCATGCAGATGTAATTGTTCTGCAAAGGTATAGACATCTAACCACTTTTGCTTAAAGGTAAAGGTGATAGTGTGGGGTGGGGTAAACACTAAGAGTAAATTAAGAACAAAGATGAAGACAACCCTAAATCATACCATCTCTATTTATTTGCACAGAAAACAAGAGTGAGGCCAAAAGGAGACGAACAGAGAGAGTTAAGCGAGAGAAGATAAATTCTTCAGTAAGTAAAGACTTAGAAAACCGAAAAAGATCCAGGTCTAACAGCCATTCAGATCATAGCAGACGAGGAAGAGGAAGACCTAAGAGTGCCTCAGCCAAAAAGCACGAGGAAGACAGAGGTATGAAAACTGGAGAAATACAGTCTCTGGGTTTTCCTTTTGTATAAAGACTTATGTTATCAAAAAACCTTTATTCAAACCATCTATGTAACTGGACTAGTTTAGCCAACACCCAGTGTCTTAGTATGGGGAAGGAACTGTTTCACATGGGTAGAGACCTCAGGTTTTGTTTCAGTGTCTGACTGGATGTAACTATGAAGAACTAAGTCTGTATTTTTAGACACCATATGAAATTTCAGCACGTAGACTGGAAGCCATTGGACTGCAGTGTTTAGTAAATTTTTTGGTTCAGTTTTGGTTATTGTGGTGTGTGTTATTTTTTTTTTTTGTGGTACTGCTGCTCTATCACAAGGACAGACAATATAGTGATGTCTGACAGAGTGATTAGGGTGATTGGATTGCTTTAAGAGTTCCTTGGAACCTTTTGGAGGGCCAAAGTAAAAAGGACATCTTGATTCATTACTGTGATTGAATTTTTGTCCCGTGTTTCTGCAGAATACTCCTCTAGAGGAAAGAATACCTCCTTGCTTTATTAAGGTTCCTTGGTGACCTGCTGTTTTTAATTTTTATGTGACGAAGAGACTGTTAGATCCACTAGAGTAATTTTGGAGCCACTCAAGGATGTGACTGTTACTTATGAATGCTATTTTTTTAAGAGCCTATTGATACTGCATTTACTGTTTACAGTTTAGGAGATATTTATTTTAGGTGTGAATAATGAATCCAAAACTTAACATGGACTTAAAAAGGTTGGAAAGGAGATAGGAAGGGAAGAACAAGACTTCATATAAACATTCAGAAGATCTTGTTCTTAAAACTACTGAAACCTTCAAACATAATTTGTGGCATAACTCAAAAATGCAATAGGTTTTTTTTTCCATGCTGCCTTACTTGTTGACAAATAAATGGGTGTTAATCTGTGTTGCAAAGTGAGTTCCTTTAACTTGTAACTTTTCAAAAGAGGTTTTATCATCTCTGCTGCTTAATGTAAATGTGTTCTTTTTTATCTTTTTTGCCTTACCTATACAAATAAATGAAAGCAATAAATTGGTTTTTGTTGGTTTTGTGCTTTGGCTGTGGAAGGAGGACATAGAATTTGTTTCTGTATGTTTTCTGGATGGTAATTACTTCAATGGGAATACACTTATAGTATCTGATCACTATTGCATGTGTCTTACTGATGTGTGTAGCTTCACAGAATACAGACCTTCCCTATTTCTTATTGATCCAAGCTAGACTTTGTCTAGAACATGTAGGATCATTTCTAGGTGGTTACTGCCAGTCTAGCATATAGAGCTTTGAGCTGAAAATTCCTGCAAGCTGCTTGGGTTGGCCTATAAAAGTAAATATTCTTTCCTGTCCCCTGAAAAAAAGAGAACAATCTAAGCAATCAAAAGAAAAGATCCATTCTCTTAATGCATGTTTTGTAGTCTCAACAAAAAGCGAGAATTTGGAAGCATGAGGGATATTCAGAGAACATGTTTTTCTATCCCAAATGAGACCAAATGTTTTTAACCTCTTGCTGTGTGCTACAAAGTGTGACAATATACCAGTGCTCCAAGGTAGACAGCTAGAAATACAGATGCAGTGAGATCTTTGCGTAAGAGTGTGTCTGGTGTGTTATTTTCTTGGTGTTTGGTGTTGTGATTTCACTTGAGAAGATTGCCTTCATCTTCTTGTCCTATCCTACCATCCCCTTTACTTGGTATTATACCTACTGCTACTGTTTCTTCCTTGACCTTTTCTGCAGAGCTGGCACAGAGCTTGTGTTCACCCCCGTTTGTAATTATCTTTGTTCCTTATCATTACAGCACCTTATTGTTTAGGAATAAGTGGGCTTAGTATATTTTCTTCTGACTTATTTCTGGTTATGTCAAACTCTAATGTGTGTAGACCACGGTGCTGATTATTGGGCAGATTTAAAAAAAAAAAATCAACCAAACAAAAATTGATATATATGGCTGTCACAGCTGTAAAAATAAGTTCAGCAGAGAACCCATCATTTTGTAAGTAATTGCCCTAACGCAAGTTAACATTGACTTCTTCCTTTTCAAGTGGTTTATAAAAGTGACCTAACTACTACATGTGAGTATTTAGTAGGAATTTTAGAAATATTCCTTTACCAGACATGTTGCTTGATAGTGTTGTTTGCATTACAGCATATTAAGCAACTTTAATTCTAATGCAATTAAGGTGATTTTTTGCATGACTCGTTGCTAGGCCTTGTATCAGTCCACATAGTGTTGAAAGTCAGGTCTGGAGTGCAAGGTGTAGTGTTAGACTTAAGTATCTTTTCTCCTTGCCTATTGTATATTTCTAGGATGTTTTGGGTTCACATTACTTGCCAGTAGAGATTGTGGCAATTTTTTTGCCCCAAAAAGCTTGAAAAGAGGCCACTGCTTGCAAAGCTGTTCAATATTAGGTGCCTCTTGGGGTTCTGCAATTCCTAAGCCATTTGTAGATGGAAAAAAAGGAGGATAGAGACCACCTGAATTAGAACAGTGTGCAAAAGCAGATAATTTGTCTGTTTGAAGACCACCCGGCTGTGAACCTTGTCTTCCTAAAGACACCTGTGACTTCTGTAGCTTTGTTTCCTTGCTTGTCACGCTCTCTTTGCACACAGGGAGCATGTTCCCAGTTAGGCCTGTGACTCTGCCTAGTTCTTTTGTATCCTTTGTGACTCGTTCGCCTTAGAGCAAAGAGCTGCAGGATTCGACAGCAATTAAGAAGAATAGGAGAAGCAGAAGGGCTTTTAAAACTAAGCGTTTTTCCTGCAGATCTACTCAGAAGGACTGGAGGGGGAGGGAAGAGGAAGCTAACATAGATTATGGGGCTATGGCAGAGTGCTGGGACCCAGAGAATACTACTGTTATGTGTTTCAGAGCCATGTGATGACCCTGGAAAACAGGAACTCCTCTCTGCAGGCTTGGCTTCTCAAAATTGTCACTTAAAGCCTTTGTGAGAAACACTGAATATATTTTGAAAAGCGAAGCACTTAATAATAATTTGATTCAATTTTGTTGTGATAGTGTTATTTTTTTTGATATACTGTGTGAGGCCATGACATACTGGGACCAGTGTTGTTCAATATC